GATCGTTTTAAAAGGAACATTTCGATCTCTGAACATTAGTAACTGTTCTTGGTGGATGTACAATCCACAGGGTGAACACCTCTTATTCTTATTCTTCTGATATTTTCCCGTTTCTTTTAAAAATTCGATTCTTGTTCCCCTTTGCAAGGTCTACCAATGTCTGCTGTCGTACTACTCGCAAAAATTCGGTGACCAGGATGAAAATGCAGAGGAGGATGGTGCCAAGCGGGAGCATGGCGGCTCCACCATCGCGAAAGTTCGTTCCATCAGTTCTCTCACCGAATCCAAACCAGCCCTCCACAGATCTGGATCAGCGCTTACACTCAGCTCTGCAGAATCCATCGAAGACTCGCCTTCAGCTGGCAACGCTTCAGCCGGTACTGAAATGCAACGCCTGCGGGACGAATTCGGCGTTAATTTGCACAAATTCCAGTCTGTCCTCATGGAAACTAGTTCAGCCTTGAAGGGCGTTTTCAATCTGCCAATGCCCGACTTTGAACTGCCCACAATGCAACAAGTGTTAGATGGCCTTGACCGTGACTTGTACGAGAAGTTTGCTCTACTCATCAATAGCTGGGGTGAGTTTGTCAAAATCTCCTCTCTGATTGGCTGTGATAATCACTGGCCAATAACGAGATTTGGAAGCTGCTGATTACGTATTCTCAACGACTTGGCCTTAAATCCTCACGTAATTTGTCTTAGAAATGAAATATACACAAGCTTCGCAAAAAACACTCCCACGGGGAACATTCTGCCGAAGGAAGCACGATCAAACATAATTTATTGTTGAGTATCCCTTCAAGAAATTGTTTACCGAAAACCCATCCGAAGGTAGACTCCTTAGAGATTGCGATGGAACCAGTGAACATATGACGGACAAGTAAACCGATGAAGAAGGGTGAAACCAAATGCGATTACCTTTCTTTTAATTTTATGGCAATATCATATCCGTTGAAGCTTGTCGCAAGACATCTTCATCTTGGGATTTGGTGTTTGAGTGGAGTGGAAGGCGGAGATACAGGTAAGTTTTGAAAAGCACGTTGGTGAGCAGGAAAATGTGATGATAGATACCCGTGTAACAGTTTCGTTTCGGGCTCACTACAGCAAAGGAAAAAAACAGCAATAGGCTTTAACTGGGTGGGCATATCAGGGGAAATTAGAAAAATCATTTAAAAAATAGAATCTTTAAAGTTTGAAAATAATAGTAATAATTACTCAAGTAACGTAATGTTTTGCGCGCCATGATTAAAATGAGAAATAAATCAACAGGAATTAAGAACTGCCCTATAGTATACGTGAATTGGATACAATCCTATATCGACTCTATGGCGAATTTTAGAGACTAAAGTAAGACCATGAAAGATAGGCTTTCTTCCCTATTTGTTTAAGCTCACATTATCTCATGATGCATTTGAACCGATGCTGTGGCACGATCAGCCAAGACGCAACTGCATAAAAGTAAGACTAAAATAAACTAAAACTAAACTAAACTAAAAAAATGATAAACTAAAAGTAGATTAATATAACTAAATTAAAACTAAAAGTGACCACAGGACGCTAAAGAAATCCCTGTGGGGAGTGCAATGTCGATTAACCGTGTCGTACCTTTATAGTGAGAAAACATGCTTGCTTCTAAGAAATACGTATGCAGCTACGCGAAGTAGACGTATCGAGCCCGAAACGAGACTGTCACCGATACCCAAACTGAGAGAACGTTCAGGGGTGTTATCTAAACGCACCGAAAATAAAGGACGTCACTTGCAGCCTTCCCGCTCACGCGCTGTTGCCAAGAGTCTGCACAGTTGAACATGCTAAGTCGTTATTAACTCGAACCTACTCCACTTATCCCGATACTTTATTGACCTAGTCAGTGCCTGGGTCGGTTTTAGGGAAAATTGACAGTGAATTGCGTTCGCAATTTTGACTCCGCTTATAACGGCGGTAAGACCTTCTTGTGAGGTCGCGCTATCAAAATTTCCCCGCCCGCCGCTAAAGTTTCTTACTGAATCCGTGGTAAAAGGGATGGGGTAAACCAGGGGCCTTTTGGGTGCGGGAAAAATGAACAAATAAGAAGAAAATCTTGGTGAAAAGAAAGCCTGCAGACCACGTAAACTAGTAGGACAACCCTATTGGTTAATAATTAAAGCCTATAGACCAATAAAATGATTACAGTGATGCCTTTAACAATTAGATGGCCTCCCAAGAATGCCCTACCATAACGGCTAGCTAAGGAACCGACTTCGACTTCTAACTTAGCTATTTTTTATTGATATAACTTACCCCAGTACATGGTGTTTGTCTTAAATAGTGTCTTCTCAAGTAGACTAAGTGTTGCGAAAATGCTAATAAGCCCCTATACTGTTCGTGAACCTCATTTGGCGTATACACATTGGCTCGAATTTTGTAAAGTTTGTGAAGGTTTCCAACTTGGTTTTTCTCAAAAAGATGAACATAAATTATTTTGTTGGGTTTCCGCTAGTGTACTGTGTTTTTGAGTTCCTACGGTTCATTGTGAGTTAAAATTGTACAAATATATTACCGAGAGATTATTTTTATATTTGATATTATTTGATTATTTACTGCCTAAATATCTGATGTACTAGCAAGACCTAGGAGGACCAGAGTGATCTAGCTGAGGGTTTGTGTTGCCTTTTACAATCAAAATGGCTTACCGAACATCATTTCCGCCGATGAGTACCTTGTGTCACAAAATCCTTACCACAAAGACTGGCTCTCCATGAAAAAGTGCTTTCTGGCATTCTAGCCCATGAGCATAGTCCCCTACCCTGGATGTGAAACTTACGCCTATTTTTTTCCAAGTCTAATGCACGCTATTCCAAACCCAAACATTTTTTTCTCCCCATCTTTAGATCAAGTTATATCGGATGTTTTGACGAAATTGGATGAACCCCGACCAGTCACAGTGGGTCCACTGGAGGAGATTGATTATTGGCGATATCGTGGCAAGATCCTCACATCAGTGAACGAATCGCTGCGAACCAAAGAAGCCACACACATCATTGAGCTCTGGAACGCTGCCAATCCTGACATGCCTAAGAGCGACAGAGTGGCCAAGATCAGGGCACTGATGGCTGAGGCAAAGGACAACGCCAGGTTATTCTGAAACTGGCACCCCACATTTCGTTTTGTCATGCCTAGAACGAGTAAGAAGAAGAGCGGGTTGAAGTACTCTACTCCGATCGTGGCTCCGGAAGTCCCTTGCCGATTTCAACGCTCTTCCCCTATTTGGACGGTGCTCTTAGGCCTGTGCTTTCCACTTTCTTACCTCGGACTGTCCTTACAGAATCAATAACGATAGCAGAGTTCAGAAACAAGTCAGGAAAAAGAAGCATAGGGATCATTTTTTCGAGAATCGGGGCAGGGGCGCAAGTGGCGTTCCCTAGAGGCACATGAAAATAGACTGTGTAATAATGCGCCTGTTGACATGAGTGGAGACTAAAACTGGCATGAGTTTGTATCAGTTCATGTTCCCATGGGAGTGTGCGTAGGAGGAGCTCCAGAATAGAGACGCGACGTTCACACCCTCTTTTCTGCATTTAGTTCATATCGGTGAACTCCACTATCATAGGAAAGTGAGCTGTTCCAATAGCAAAATATTCAAGCCATCAACTTTTTAAGTTGACCGGTAGTATTGCCGGCAATGACATGGAAGACTAGAATGGCCAGCTCTGGCCAGCCATTTCAGCCAGTCATAAACAACGCCTTTTTTAGCTAACGGCTTTCTGAGCATCAAAACCCACTCAACAGACCGAAATAACAAGATCGAACCTTCGCTAAATTATGAATCAGATCACTTAGTGCATATGAAGGGCACATCGATATTCATCCTCATCTCCGGTAGTAAGTGTTTTAACTAATCAGGTTCAAGTGACTTGTTAGATGTGCAGTCCAGTCGGATTTACGAATATTAGTAGCCGGTGACATTGGCCGATAGCATGATCACGCGCTAAGATTTACGACTCATCTTTGGTCAAACTTAGGTGCTGCATAAGGGAAACCCTCGATTCCACCGATCTCCTCAGGAAGAACGGACAAGAGGTGAGGTAGATTCCATTTTTGGCTATAACGCATAACCAACACAATAATCCTGCCATTTTACTGAAAAAAATAGGAATACAACAAAGCAGGCCGCTCAAAAAATTAGACCTCTTATGAGTTTAACTATGAATTTGTGAGACCGAAAGACTCCACTTCTTCATCTAGATATAAACTCAGAACCTTGCTCAATCCAAGAGAACGGTTTGAGGTGTAAAACAGCCTCTTTTAAGATCATATGTTTGTATGGCCGGTAACGATTCCTTATATGTAACACGATGTTGTTAACTCTGCATTATTAACCAAATATTTCGTTGTAGTAAGCCTGTTTTCTTTTGTACGTATTCACCATCTACCAATCCATCGCACTCCCCACACTGAAATCTTTATCTTCCTACGCTTACTTTTAGTTTTACTACTTACGTGTTTTCCTGGCAGTCATCTTCTTAGTCCTCAAACTTTTTTTTATTGGTAAACACCTTTGATGACAGTTGTTTTGCACAACTTTAGGTTCCTCCTGCTTGTGGAGAGACATTTCAAGAACGTTCAATTCGGTCACAGTTTTAATGTTGTGGCTGACACCATTCCAGCGATGCTGCAATCCCTGCGACTCATCTGGACCATTTCCAGGGGGTATAACAAGGACGAGCGCATGGGACCCCTGCTGCAAAAGATCGCCTGGGCGCTGTATGACAGAGTCATTCGAGTAATGGATATTGCCACACTCTTTAGGTAAGTCTACTCTACGATTAGTGTCATTCTCAGTAGAGAGGTTAGTATTGAAATGGACATTATTTTCAAGAGGGAGGTTCAGCAACTCCTCAAATAGTGAAGATAAATGGGATTTCTATCACTGAAGTGATTCTTCACCACCACTGAATGCTCGGACATTCGCGTCCGGAGTAATCTCCCGGTTTCCCTGGCATATTTGCTTTGTCCACAACTGCACCAGATCCGGTAAACAACCCCAGCCGTTTCCTGCCGTAGCAGTGGGTTTTTTCATCTTATTACCCAGTCCCTGATGGTTGTTTCTGGCCTGTGCGCAATTCTAACTCTAAGTGGCGTGAGCAGGCGATTGACTGGAGTCGTTTACCAGGCCTGGTGCAGTTGTGGAGAAAGCAACTACGTCGGTGAAACTGGGTGATTTCTCCGGACGCAAATAGCTGAGCACATAGCGGCGGTGAGGAATCACTTCTATGGGCAATCACTTTGGGCGCGATTTATATCACTGTAAATAGATAGTCACGTCGATATAGGTCTTGGTGATATAGCTCGCTGGTGTCTCGCCAATTTTTGTCCCAGATTCGTCAGTTTCCTAAGGGAAGGTAAGGTCTACGTAAAAATTTTTTCCCATACTATTAGCTAAAAGGTCAGACACGTGTTACACCGGCTATTCTGCGCTGGACTGCACAACTGCGAGGGGTTCAGTTCATCGGTGGGTTCCCTAGCATTTTCTTTGTGCTTTCTGGTATAGTTTTGAAATTGCAGCTTTTTAATTTTTCTGGAAATAGCTCTTTGGGGATGTGGCCTGGTGTAATTTACAGTAGATAGCATATATTATAAAACATGTGGAAATTCACGAAATATGTTGGATCGGCTTATCAATAATGAAGGGCCCTCAGTTAACTTAAAACAGTACAATACTGAAATTAATTAATACCTCCGTTAGAAATGACAATTTTTAAGACCAGCGGAACTGCCAAAAATCCGTATGAAGTGGCTAAGTTTAATTTATGCAAGTGCATAATAGTAGGCAGCTGTGCCTTTTTAGGTCGACACATGTGTAAAAAATGTTTATTTATAAACGATATTGGAATATTGGCATCCCAACTCTGCCAGCGCACGCCCAAAACTGGGCGGGGGTGACGACGGGGGTGTATCTGGGGTTGATGTTAAAGGTAGATGTATTATTCCGCAATCCGAAATTTCCAGAATGCTGTAGGCGGACCTAAAAGGCAATCT